ATATATATATATATTAGCTGACATTATTAATGCAGAACATGTATAATAAATGTTTAATAAATCTATGAGTTTACTGTTTGAATTGAATTTCTAAAGTTAATTGCCTTTTTGAAGATATTATAAATGTTTTGTCTCAAAGTTTTGAGATGCACAGTGCAGAGCTAATGAGAACATCTGTTCGTTGAAACACAATTGTGATTTTATTTTTGTTTTCTTTGTCCAGAAATAAAAACAATGTTCTTGTATATCCTTGGGCTGGTGGCTGTTTGGTACGTCTACCGCTGGTACAAAGAAAGCAAAAGAGTTCCCAACCAGGGGGACAAATATGTGTACATCACTGGCTGTGACTCCGGGTTTGGGAACAGCCTGGCCAAACATCTGGACAAGCTGGGCTTTTGTGTGATTGCTGGCTGCTACACGGAGAACGGTGAAACTGCGCTGAAGAAGGTCTCCTCCGAAAGGCTGACAACCATTTCCCTGGACGTCAGCAAGTCTGAAAGTGTGAAAAATGTGGCGGCTTTCATTAAGACCCTTGTTGGAGAGAAAGGTGAGTGGTTTCCTCCCCAGTTTTATTTTTATCAGTTGATTAAGTTGGGAAGAAATAATTAGCAGAGACACTCTGGTTATTTTGATGTAGCCTAAAACAGCGGATTCGCTCACTGATGTGAGTTTTATCAGTCCCATCCCAGGGTTCATCTTGTGCTTATGTTGTTTCAGGTCTGTGGGCTGTTGTGAACAACGCTGGAGTTTCCACGCCGTCCGGTCCCGTAGAATGGCTCACCATTGACGATTACAAATCCATGCTAGCCGTCAACCTCAATGGAGTGATCGACGTCACTCTGAGCGTGCTCCCTCTCATCAAGAAGGCCAGGGGCAGAGTGGTAAATGTAGCCAGTGTGTTCGGGCGAATCAGTCCATTTGGGGGGCCTTACTGTGTGTCCAAGTATGGAGTGGAGTCCTTTAATGACAGCCTGCGGTAAGAAGGACCAGTGTTTTGTTATTTTTTTTATTTTTCCTTGTTCTTGATTGAGATTGTCTTCTTTTTTGATGTGTATTTTTGTGTTTTAGTTTGAACATGGCACCATTTGGAGTCAAAGTTTTGTGCATTGAGCCAGGCTTCTTCAAAACAAGTGTGACTGACACTGTGATACTGAAAAAACACTTCAGGAGCCTTTGGGACAGATTACCTCAGGATTTGAAGGATGACTATGGGTATACTTTCTTGGAGACAGGTGAGTTTTAATAGCTCCGCTTATCTTTACCCTTTTTTTTTTCATTACAGAAACAATCAGGCCCAAATGCCCACACTCCTAATGGCATGTGGTTAAAATGTCCTTTGTATCCATAGATATAGACTAGAGGCTTACCTATAAATTTAAGGAGCATTGAATTGTATCAATCTGCATTTACATTTTCTGAAATGTTTTAAACTTATCTAAACCATTGTTGGAGCTCAGCAGAGATTCAACAGGTTAAAAACAACCTTGTTCTTAGGTTTTACAAAATTATGCCTCTATTTGGAACCTATTTTTTTATTTTTTTTTTTGACATCGCAGCCCATTAAGTACCTGAATTTTATGTTTGCTGTTGAAAAAGTGTTTGCAGTACTTCAGTTTTAAGCCATGTTGCACAGGATATCTTCAAAAAAGGCTTCATAAAAGTTCACAAATTTTGGTTTTAAATCACGTATTTAGCAGATAGATAAGATTAATGGTAGTGCAGATGTAAGGTGTTTTTTTTTTCTTTTTTTTCATGAACTGACAGAAGGCTGAACGCGAAACTTGACCTTTTACAGTTTGTGCAATAAGCAAAAATACATTTAGCTTCCCTGCTTATAGGCATTTAAGCATTTAACTGTAGATTAGATAAATGTTCAGAGTCAGAAAGTACAAAGATAAATCTTCAGTACATATTTTGCTAAACAGAAACTAGTTTGATTTAGATTTACAAATACTTGTGAAAAAGGAAACTTTGAAACTTCACTACCCTGCCCTGACAAGTGGAGCAGGGTCTTGCACTTTAAACCTTTTTTTTTTTTTTTCATTCATCAGCCATTTCATGCATCAGCCAAAGTGCTTTGCATTCAGTTTTATGGTTATTTATTTATTTTTTTTTTTTCCTAAGATGGACGTTAAATCATGTCTGGATCACCCACTGCAGAACATTGACTGTCTTTCAGGTCTCGAGCAGCTGGATGAAAGGTTCAAGCAGTTTCGAGACAGCGACCTGATGAAGGTAGTCCACTGTATGGAACACGCCATCGCCTCCGTCCACCCTCGCTACCGCTACTCCCCAGGATGGGATGCCAAGTTCCTCTGGTTGCCCATGTCATACATGCCAACTTGGCTTTCAGATGGATTTTTCCTTCGATACAGTCCCAAACCCAAAGCATCTGTGATTTGACAAACATCCTGTGCGTGTTATTTTCACAACACTAAATGTTAGCTTTACACATCTGACAAACTTTGTCAACATCCTTTACGTCTCAAGTCCTGTAATAATCTGTTACCCCTTTCTTGAAAATGAAGTTTTCTGTATGACATATGTATTTTGAATAAAAGTTTCTGTATTAGTTATAGAGTAAGCAGAAACAATAATGTGCTGTGCAGTGATGGCATACTTACTTTGAAAAAGTAACTTTAATCTGATTACTGATTGCTCCTTGAAAAAGTAACTTAGTTAGATTACTGATTACTTGATTTGGAAAGTAACTAAGTTACATTAAAAGTAACTTTTTTAGTTACTTTCAGCCACCTGTGATAATTACATTGATCTTTGCCAATATTTAATTGCAAGTTATTTTATAATGGTAACATCCACTTATAAGGTTGAACTGAAGGTGAGATTGTTTAATGGTTAAAACAGTTCCAAAAAAAAAAAAAAAAAAAAAAAATTTTAAAAATTTGTAGTGATTTTTTTGGTTT